AAAAAAAAATCAACATATGTTCTCCCTCATATGGGGATTGTAGAACCAAATCCTGGTAAGTGATTATGCATCCAGACATAACTACAGGAACCAGGATAATGGAAAGGAAACAGGGAGGTAAAGAAAAAGAAAGAACCTGAAGGAGAAGACACCCACCACAATTACAGGACATTTTGAGATGCTCATAGTCCCCTGGAACTAGCCGACTAGGAGGGCCAGGAGCAAAAACTGTCCTTTAAAGGAAGGGTATACAAGGATCCTAGGGGATAAAGGGAAAGAAGGAGCTCAAGAGAGGCAGGACCATAGGAGAAGGGTATTGTTACGGGAGAAAGGGTAAAAATGGGGTCACCTTAATTGGGGAAATGCAAGAGATAAATAATGCCTAGCTAGTTTTAGAAACCAGAGGGAACCATATTAGTCCAACAACCTACTGACAAATTATACATACCAGATCAAGAAATATATGTCTAGGCAGGTTTATCTAACATTCCTTTTTAAGGGCTGGAGAAATGGCTCAGCAGTTCAAGAGCATTGGCTGCTCTTGCAGAGGACCCAGGTTCAGTTCCTAGCACCCCCATACAGGGGCTCACAACTGTCTATAATTCAAGCTCCAAGAGATCTGATGCCCTCTTCTGGCCTCCACAGATATTAGGCATACAGGTGGTATACATTCATCCATGCAGGCAAAACACTCTAATAAATAATAAAATCTTTAACACAAATAAAATAAAAACAAAATTTTCTTTTAATCTTAAGGTAGTTGGAATGGATATCTATCATGTACAACCAAAGAAGTTCTCTTGTGAATACATAATATTTTGTTTTATATTTAGCAGTTGACATATAGGGAAAATCTATAGCGTTTAGACATAGCATTAGGTTCTGCACATAAAGTAAGAGTCATCAAACTGGGTGTGATGATGTATATCTTTAATCCCAGAACTTGGGAGGCAGACGCAGGCAGACCTCTGTGTGATCAAGGCCAACATGGTCTACATAGTGAGTGCCAGGCCAGCAGGGACACTCAAAAATAAATAAAAACAAAACAAAACAAAAACTCTAGAAGGGAGACCCTGTCTCTCACACACATACAAAAAAGAATGGTCAAAGATATGGTTATAGATACTTTTGTAGAAAGTTAATTATGACATTATTATAATTTATAAATGCCTGAGGTAGGTAGAATAGCATGGCTTTCAGTTATAGCATGAATTTGTTACGTTTTACATCCTTTGCACATCTATCTATCATCTATCATACTGTGTGTGTGTGTGTGTGTGTGTGTGTGTGTGTGTCTGTATGTGTATTTGAGCTTACCTGTGCATGTGTGAGTAGAGCCCAGAGGTCATGTTGGGTGTTTTCTATCCACCTTATTTAAATTTTTTTCATTACATTGTTTATTTATTTGCGTGTGTGTGTGGGGGGGGGAATTGTGTGGGAACATGTGCATGTGGAGGTCAGAAGACAACTTGTGGGAGTTGGTTCTCTCCATACATGACATAGGCTTTGGGGGTCACACTCAGGTTGTCAAGCTTGACAGCAAGCTCTTTTATCTCCTGACTGATTTTGCTGGCCCCACCTTCTTTTGTGTGGCAGGCTCTCACTGAACCTAGGTTGGCTGATCTGCAAGCCCTGAGGATCTGCCTGTCTCTGCCTTTCCATCGTCCATCTGGCTTCTTATGTGGGAGTGGAAGAGCCAAGCACAGAGCTTCATGTTTTCACAGCAAGCATTTCATTCACCAGGCCATCTCCCCATTACCTGTTTTATGTTTCTTTAAAGGTCTAAGGATACATAGCGTAGTGTTGGTACATGATGAGAAACAGCAAATACTTTTGCGTTTTAGAACATATTTCAAATATCTGGAACATAAAACTTCATATTAGGACTTTACAGTTAAAGAAACAGATTACTAAAAGGAATTTTGTAATTTTTATTTTAAAATGTCCTACAGGGGGCTGGAGAGATGGCTCAGCAGTTAAGAGCACTGACTACTCTTGTAGAGGACCAGGGTTCAATTCCCAGCATCCACATGGAGGCTATGAACTCTCCTTAACTCCAGTTCCAGGGAAATCCAAAGCCCTCTTCTGACCTCCGAGGCAATGCACGACATGGGTGCATTCACATACATGCAGGCAATATACTCATACACATAAAGTAAAAAATAAATAAAATATTTTTTAAAAATGTCCTACAGGCTGGGTGTGGTGGCACATATCTTTAGTCCCAGCACTTGAGAGGTAGAGGAAGGCAGAACTCTGTGAGTAGAGGCTGACCAGGTCTACATAGTGAGTTCCAGGCCATCTGGGGCTACAGACCCTGTCTCAAAATAAATAAATAAATAAATAAATAAATAAATAGATCAGATGTCCACTTGTTGATCTAAGGAATATTTTGGGTCTGGCTGCCACATCATATTTACATTATTTCAAAGAGTGTTGACATCTTATATAGCAGTAAAGGTTTGATTGAGCTTTCTGCTGTGATACTAGTAATAGATTATAGAGAGAACTGATCAGATTTATTTTCCTGCTTGAATATTCACGAGTGGTTTATTTTCTAGCCATGTCAGTGCCTCAGCCATCTCTTTTGGTCCTGAGTTGTCATTTGAGGATGGCTTGATTAAGAATATTTTTGCTTTATACCCTTGGGTCATTAAAAATTGCAATGGAAAATATGATGATGGGAAAGTCAATTATTTAAATCTGTTAATTGGAGTTCTTAAATATGTATCATGGGATCTGTAAAACATTGTGCTGAAAAACTGAATCATATAAAAAAGTTTTTTCTTCTGCCTCCTGCTTCACAAAAATTACATGTAACTAGTAATTAATGTTTCACAGATATACTTTTTTCCTAAATGTATTGCTTAAATTTAAATAGTCAACATGTTTTGCAGAATGCCCTACCTGATCACAATATTTAGACCATCTGATTTTGCAATTACCCTAAAATATGCCCTTCAGAAGTCATTTAATTAAAAGGTAATACCCAAAACAACAATTAAAAGAAGAAAAAAATTCAGCCTGGGGTGGTGGTGCACATCTACAATCCCAGCACTCGAGGCAGGGGGTTCATGACTTTGAGACTCTGTCAGCAACAATTAAATAACAAATCCATGAACCATTGTTAATTATTAGGCATTATATCTAATGTGTCAAATGTTCACTTATGAGATCAGATTTTATTCTCTCCAAATTTCTGGACCCGACAGCGCTATGAAGCAGAAAGAAGCACACACATAAGGTATCACGGGGGAGAAAAAAAGGGATGAAGTGGACTGGAGAGACGCTCAGCAGTTAAGAGCACTGGCTGTTCTTGCAGAAGACCCAAGTTCAAATCCCAGCACCCACAGGGCAGCTAACAACTGTTCGTAACTCCAGTTCCAGGGGATCCGACAGCTTCTTCTGTCCTCCGCGGGCACTGCACGACACGGGTGCATTTACCTACATGCAGGCAATACACTCATATACATAAAATAAAAATAATAATAAACAAATTAAAAAATATATGTATTTTAAAAAGGATGACGTTAGCATCCTGCTGTTAATTCGCAGGCATATGAAGTAGCTGAGTAGAGACATGCGGGACCCCCAGGGGTTCCTGGGCGACAAAGCCCAGCAGCAAGAATCCAGGTACGCGGGGCCGGGGGTGAGGAATCTGGGTCCAGCTAGGCAGTTGGAACGTGCGCTTCGGCCTGGGATCCAGAGCTGCAAACTTCTTCTGGACTCCGAGCGGGGCGGGGCTGGAGCGCTCGGGGATGGGCTAGGGCGTGTGGGTGTGGCTAGAGAGTGAGGGGCGGGGCAGCTCGTAAGGAGGCGGGGCCGCCCGCCACTCTGCTGGGCTCGGGAGCGCGCGGCGCGGCCCGGCCTGGTTGTGGAGCTCAGGCTGCGGCTGCGCTCGAGCGCCGCAGGTGACCTGGGCCCGGAGCCGGGTGCTCTGGGCCGCGGCTGAGCAGCAGGGGAGTGGACTGGACGCGGGCCGTCAGGGCCCGGCGTTCTCGGAGCTGAGGGGAAGCGCGAAGGGCCCGAGGCTCCCTGTGACGACTGGCGGCGCTCGCGGGCCTCGGCATGTTCCGCCGCGCGGCGCTTCTGCTCCCGCCGGTGGGCTGAGGAGGCGGCGGCCACCCGGGCGCGATGCTCCTGCGGGACTCGGCGTAGAGGGCCGCCCCGCCGCCCGCGGGAGAGCTTCGGCCGCCGAGCCCGGGCGGGCACTGCGGCGACGGTGGGCGCCCCGACATGGCGGCCCGGAGCGCCCCGAGCTGCCACCTGCGGCTCGAGTGGGTGTACGGATACCGGGGCCACCAGTGCCGCAACAACCTCTTCTACACTGCGGCCAAGGAAATCGTGTACTTCGTGGCAGGGGTCGGCGTGGTGTACAGCCCGCGGGAGCACCGGCAGAAGTTCTACCGGGGCCACAGCGACGACATCATCAGGTACGGGGTGCAGGACCGCTCCTGACCGTAGCATCACCCGGGACAGCGCTGCATCCGGTCCTCGCGCCGGTCTCACTGCTTTTCCGCTCTCGGGGCGGGCTGGAAGGTCGGTCGGCAGGTCGTCGGCTTCCCTGGCTTTGAGTCCTTCCCCATCCCGGCAAAATTAGGAAACTTGTCACAAGGTTATTTGGGTGGCACTTTTTTCTTTTTAAATTATGTGATTGATTTCTTATTAAACGAAATCTTAAAGAACCCGGGGTAGGGAATCCTTTATTTGAGGAGAACTAAGCTGAGCACCGCAAAGCAAGCATAGACTTGTTCTGGGGAGCGCATAGCAGTGGCGTCCTGGAGGGTGCTCGCTTCTTGGCTCTGATGATTAGTTCGGCTTTCACCATCTGCAGTTAGCAGCAGATAGCAAAGAAACTTGGGTAACCTTCAGACAATTCACCAGAGTTAAAATTTGCGCACCAGAAGGCAGTTTGGGGGCGGGGGTATGTCTTATATGGAAAAAGCTGGTAGATAACGCCACTGATGTCCAGTTCTGTAGATTCATCATTAAAGTACTCAAGTTAACTTTAGTTTCCTATTTTTACATCTGCAGTTAGCAGCAGATAGCAAAGAAACTTGGGTAACCTTCAGACAATTCACCAGAGTTAAAATTTGCGCACCAGAAGGCAGTTTGGGGGCGGGGGTATGTCTTATATGGAAAAAGCTGGTAGATAACGCCACTGATGTCCAGTTCTGTAGATTCATCATTAAAGTACTCAAGTTAACTTTAGTTTCCTATTTTTATTTTAAATCAATCTCTCTCTCTCTCTCTCTCTCTCTCTCTCTCTCTCTCTCTCTCTCTCTCTCTCTCTCATGTGTGTGTGTCTCTTGATCTGTATCTTAAAGTTGGTCTAAGTGTTATTTTCATTTCTTCTGTAAGCGGTAATATAAAGGGTAATTTTCAGCATCTCAGTAAAACTTTTGTGTTAAAGTTAGGAGCTTCAGAATGATTGTAAGCCACTGATTATTGCTTTAAGTACCTTTTCTCTTATAAGAATATATATATTTATTTTATCTTGTTTTTAATTGAGAAGGTGTTGTATGTTGCCTCTGAGTTTTTGACACAGGTTCTGTGATTGGGCTTCACTACTTAATTTTATTCCTTCATGGATGCTTCCCAAGGTTTAAACTGGGAATTTCAAATCAGGAACATGATTCAATGTCTTGCAGGCAGGAAGCTCCATGAAGCTGTTCTGTTTGGCTCCCTGTAAGTCTGTAGAAGGGCAAGGAGGTCCAGTGTACAAAAAAGATAAGACAGGAGTAAAGATAAACATAAAGTGAAATTGTAGAATATGGAATACGTAGAGTGGGTTTTTTATTTTAATTCATGTATTTAGACACTTAGTGGGATTTTCCAGATTGTGCATTTTGGAAAGGAAACTAACAAGTACTTTTCTTCTTCTCAAATTAGAATTTTTTTGTTTTGGAGGCTGGAAAGAAGGCTCAGCAGTTAAGAGCACTGACTGCTCTTGCAGAGGACCCAGGTTTGATTCCCAGCACCCACATGGTGGCTAACAACTGTCTGTAACTCCAGTTCCAGGGGATTTGACGCTGACTTCTGACCTCCACAGGCATTGCATGAGATGGGTGCACTTACAGACGTGCAGGCAATACACTCATAAAATAATAATAAAGTAAAAAAAATAATTTTTTTGTTATGATCAGGGTTTGAGACCTAGTATAAATCCAGATTACTAAAACAAACAAAAATATTGCTATTTCTTATCTTGTTACCCCAAGAGTAGAGTTATCTCAGTTTCTTTTCTTTCCCCAGTCCTGTCTTGTCTGTTTCTTTTCCATGGATTAGATGTCTGTGGTGCTGGGTACACTAGGTTTACCTGCATGAAGCAGCCTTGACCAAAGCTCTCTTCCAGATATTGTCTGTCGGTATCTTTTATTAAATCCAGTATGGTACCAGGTGTAAAAGATATTGAGGTCATCATTGTGCAATTAAGTTTTTATTTAGGAGAGCAGTATTGCATTGAGACTTTTCAAAACTAGATATGATTTATTTGAGGGAAGATTAAACTATGTCTTCATTCTTCTAACAGTAACTAGAAGCTGTATTTAATATGTCACACTACTTGAAAGTTTTATTTTTTGCAGTTCTAAGGATTGAACCCAGGGCCACATGCATACATACTAATCAAGTGCTACATTGCCTTGAATTTTTATATTTGGTTTCAGTAAACTGTAAGGAAGATCATGCTTTTTTGCCTTCTTCTAGAATGTTTACATAACACAAACATAACGTTTTAAGCATTTCAAAATGGCAAACATACTCTATATGCCTATGATTTTATGCAATTGATACAGTTTAAAATAATTTAAAATAATTGAAAGATTTTCTGAAAAGTTGTAATGGGTAATAAAATCTGAGTCATACAGTGTAGTAAAAATTGTGGAACAAATTTAATACTAAGAATATATTTAGAATTAAAGTGCTTTAGAAATTGTATCTTACATATTAATGACAGATATTAATGACGGATTATTCTTATGAGCTAGAACATGCAAAAGTTAAAAGCTCAGGTATTTTTTAACTTCAGTGTTTAACCTCTAGGTACAGAAATCATTCCAGTTCAGTTATTTCAAGCAAAAGATACAGTATCCATACTGTGTTGGATGTTAGAAAACAATCTTGTGGTATTTGCCTTAACAATAAAAATGTTTTCATTAGTTTTGTTCCTGTATTTGCTTAAAACTTACTTGAAATTTAGTGGTATATAACTTTATCTGAGGCTAAGGCTCTTCCAAAATGAACATGTCATTGTCATTAGGTTTGGGAAACGTAAGCACTATAGGATTTTAAAGTCTGAACACACTGCTAAGTGTTAGTGATTCTCTTCTAATCTTACTGCCTAGGCTTGCCCAGTGTGGCACCATATGGCAGCACAGCTTTTTCGTTGCATTGCTTATAATTGGTTGTCTGTCTTTTTGCCATGAATCTGTATGCATTCTACTTCTCTACTTATTTGTTCTGTACTAATATTTATTCCACTAATTTGTTTATACATAGGAGTAAACTTCAGAGTGTGTTTGTGTGTGTGTGTGTGTGTGTGTGTGTGTGTGTTTCAAGTTTTGTTGTTCCAGTTTCTCTACTTATTAGTTATTTGCAACAGGTTTAAGACTAAGTTCTAAGGTATTACTAGTTCTGGGTTTAACATAAGGTATCTATCAGTGACCTAGTTTGTATTTTGAAACCTTTGCCATTTGTTTTCCCCAAAAGATTTGATAGGTTTTAAATCATGTTTTCCTTGTTACTACTCATCAGACTTTCTTTTGCAAATAGTGGATATTATCAAAAGTTTTCAAATCATTTATACCAGTAAAGACCATGACGGGGTGTGGTTCACTTGGTGTTTTGGTACTTGCTTCTGGCTCATTCATATCAGTCTCTGTTTTGTTCATGCAGAATTCGAAATGCTTTAAAATGAATTTCATTCATTCTTTTAAAAAGGCTACGTCTCCGTTTTCCTTAAAGACTCAGCTTAAATATTCTGGGAAGCAGCTACATCATATGCTGTGGTCTTGTGTTATAAAAAAAAAAATGCAAGTTGTTTTACCATCTTCAGTTATTTTGCTGCTATTTACTCTTGACTGTATTCTGTTTCCCTCTGTCAGGATCACCAGTGACCTCTGTGTTGCTAAATCCAGTGGTCAGTTATCAGTGCTCACCTTTTGTAGTTTTCATCATAGTTTGACATATTTGGTCATGCCTTCTCTCCCGCCCCCCTTCTCTCCTTTTCTCTCCCTCCCTTTCTCCTTTATCTCTCTCTCTCCCTCTCTCCCCCCTCCCCTCCCTCTCTCTCCCTCTCTCCCTCTTCCCCTTCCTCCCTCTCTTGAGACAGGGTCTCCCTATAGCCCCAGCTATAGGCATACCATGCCTGGCACACCTACCTTCAAAGATACTTCGTAAAAAATTTAAAATTCAAAATGTGATATATAATACCAAAATTACATGCATGTTGATACATGTATATATTGTTTAACGTTTAAGTCCTTGTAAGATATTTGTCCCCTTAAGCATTTGTCATTTCTTTATGTTGAAAATATTAAAAACCTTTCTAGTTTTATGAAAAATACATTTTCATTATCTGTAGCCACATTACTGTGCAATAGCATACCAGAACGTCCAGACTTCTTACTCCAAGTGTAACTTAGCATCCACATTGATCATCCTTCCCATCCCGCCCTTTGGTGGTCTTGGCTTTCCCTAGTATGGAAACCACCAATCTACTTTCAGCTTCTATGAGATCAACTTTTTAATACTCCAGACACAAATGAGCACATGTAATTTCTTCTTGTGCCTGGCTTATTTCACTTAATAATCTCCAGTTCTATTCGTTTTGTCAAAATGACAATATTTCACCTTTCTTATGCTTGAATAGTATTTTATTGTATGTTTCCTACACCCCCATACACACATTTTCATTATTTATTCATTAGTTGATGGACATTTTAAGTTGTGCTAGCTCTTGGCTGTTGTGCTTCAATAAATGTGGGAATCCAGATAGTTCTTAAACACCCCAATTTCATTTCTTTTGAATATATATACATATATACATATATGTGTGCACACATACCCTGAAGTAGGATTATTGAATCAGATAATATTAAAATATTTCTTGTTGCATTTGGAATACATCTTTTTGTTGTTGTTTTAATTTTTCTTGCACAAGTTAGTGACTGCCTGTGTTCTTAGCACTAAAGCTGTGGTAGTGAAGTAAACAGATGAAATTCCCCATCTTCATGGAGCTTATATCTATTGAGGGCCAGGAGATAACAGATATAATCAGGTAAGGTGTGTGTGTGTGTGTGTGTGTAAGAACTAAGGAGAAAGAAGGCAGTAAGAGTGGTCTCACTGTTAAAGTGCTACTTGAGTAGAGTTGGGGGTGACAGACTACATTGTTTGGTAAGTTAAAGGATATACAAGCAAAGAGCTGTACAGG